GGGCTCCAGAGCTGGACGCAGGACTCCCGGGGGGTCTCAGCAGAGCGGGGCAGAGGGGCAGAACCCCCTCCCTCGCCTGTCTGGCCACATCTAAACCTCTTCAGAGCCCATACAAACTCGAAGCGCCCACAGCCTCCATCTTCCAGCAGTAAATTGGAGGTCCCCAACCACCACGTGTGTCTCGGTCATTTTAAGCGCTGCAGCCATTGCAGAGCTTTCCCTGGCACCTCTCATCTTCTGCTTGTGGGTTCCTCTGCTGCTTTCTCCCTCCCCTCCCTGCTGCCCTCTTTGCCGGCTGGGCTTGGTGGTCCGCAGGGCTGGTGGCTGTGCAGAAGTTCTTCACTTTTGGGGTAGGGGGAGGAAAGGCTCTGGGAGGGGACCAGGGAGCTGTGCCTGGCAGTCGAGTTGGGATGCCCCAGCAAGTCCCACCATGTTTTCTAGCTCATCGAGAACTGCTAGAGAAGCGGGAGCAAGCACTGAGCTCGTGTTCTCATGGAGACTTTCCCAGTGCCAAGCTCTCCTTCCCCAGAGGTGAGGCTCAGCTTGGAGCCCAGCACCGGGCAAGCAGAGTTCGGACTGTCCTCACCTGCTCCAGGTTCCTTGTCTGCTGCCCCGGCCGCGTTCTCGTGCACCTTCTCAGCCTGCCATGGTCCTTCATTCCCTGAATTCCCTGTCCCGGGGAGGCTCCAGCTCTGCGTCTCATCCCCTGTGCGACCCTTGCTCGAGGAGAAAATTGGCCTCTTCTTAAGCCCAATTTTTCTGCGTTTACCAGCGTGAAGGCCCTTCCCCGTCGCTGTGGTGCAGGTCGGCAGCTGCTGGTTTGAAGACCCTCTTCTGCAGGTGGTCATCAGAACCATCTGGGGAATCCCAGTGAGTCTGAGCACTTGTGCGGGTCGGGTGACTTGGGATAGATGGAGAGAGAGGACGAAACTTCCCATTTCACAGAAAATTAGCTTTTTGGCTTAGTGCATGAGCACGTTTGATTTTGGAGCACGTGTCAAATCACCAATCCTGCCCGCACTGCCGCTTTCTTCTTTTCACCCCTGAAGAAAAGCCAAAACCCCCATGACCCAGCGGTGGTTTTAATCTGTTTTCACACCCGTTGCTGTTAAATGGAGCAGATTTTGCCGACTTGGGCTTTCTGACACCTTTTTTTGCCCTGGCTTTGGAGCCGGCCTGCGCCTCTGCGCGATAACCAACGGCCACCGCGCCGAGCCACGAGGGCTGTGGGAGCCCTGGGGTCCCGCATCCTGGAGCTTTTGGGGCTCCTGCAGCTCTTGGAGCTCGTTAATGCTTCATTTAACCCTCACTGCTCGAGCAACCCAGCGAGACGGCGGCGCGGCTGCGGGGTTGGGGCAGAACATGGTGAAAGCAAGGGATATTTTTTTCTTTTTAAGTTTAATTTCAC